GCTCTGTGTGTGGGCGGGGGGGGGGGGGGTGTGTGTGTCTCTCCCGGCTGCCTGCCACTGTGATCTTAGGGAAAGCATCCTTCAAGGTCCTCTGCTAGAACATGAGTGACCAGCAGGAAAGGGAGACAGAAGAGGATGAAGGAAGCACTTCAGACACAGCACCCATGATACCCCGAAGAGGGTCTACTGACTACCATGTCTCAGTCCTGGTATGTCCAAGGTGGCCTATGCTGGTCACCCAAGGCCTCAGGACCCTGTTGTTGCCTGGCCGGACCCTGGTTGGGTTCCTGTTCCATCTGCTGCTACCAGGGACAGTCTTCCTGCTGGTGTTGCTGCCAGCTGCTGCCATTGTCTACCTGGGATTCCTGTGCCATTCAAGGGTGAGCAGCATTGGTTAGTCCCTGGGAAGTGGGAGTCCCCTGGAGGTTCAAGTCCCCGAGACTGAAGGTGAACCTGCCCCCTTCTGGCCCTGCCCCTTTGTATGCAGAGACATACGTGTCCTCTTCTGTAACCTCCTTTTCTGCCAATACCCTACCAGCTGCAGACAAAGAAAAGCTTTTGTCACTCAGGGAACAGCTGTCTTTCCTCCCCCAGGCCTCTTAGCTTTGTACCAGGAGGCACCAGGGCCTGGTCAGTGAGGTTGAAGTGATATAGGAAACAAACTGAAATTCCACCTGCACTTGGTGCCTCTTCACTCCTCATACCCACACACATACCCAAACCCTCTTGACCTGGACTGGGCTTCCCCACCTGAGGAGGGGAGCTATGGCTTGAGCTGTTCATAGAAGGTCCTTATATTCCTTTCTGTGGCTTCTGGTACGGGAGAGAGATGGTGCTGGCTGGTGACAGTACAGCTGGAGCTCAACGTCAGCTGTCAACACAGGTAAGGTCCATGGGAAAGAGCACAGATGGGGCCTGGAAAACCGGCTTGGGAGAGCCAGGGAAGTTCTCCAAGCCTTTCCTTTAGGAATCCCTATCTGGGCCATTTATAGTCTGGGTTCCAGGTCTCCCAAACAAGCTTCAATACTGCTTGGCTCAGAGTAGTCGCAACTCAGGCCAACTTTCTTGGCTGTGTTCTTGCAACTCCTGTCAAAGGCGGCCTCATTTCGCCCTCTGGGACCCACCTCAAGGCCTTCCAGCCCTGCCCTTCTCTCTGGACTCTGCCCCAATCTCTAGGCCCCACTTGGTTCTCCACCGGCCCAGGTCCTTCCTCAGTCTGCAGCTCTCTGGAGCGTCCCCGTCCGACCACACGCCTCCACTGTCCACAGGTTCATCCAGCCCCGGGTCCACGATGCCGAGCGCTGCTCTCAGACCGCGGCTCTGCAACGCTTATTGTATTCGGATTCCTCTCTCTGCCGCCGCTTCTGGTGCTTGCCTCGGCCGCCCGCTCCCTCCTGGTTCGGCGACTACGCCCTATGCTGCAAAGCCCCGCGGGGACCCCCGAGCCGCCCTGCCCGCCGAGATGCAGCGAGGAGGGACTGGCGGGCGACCGCCCTGACGAAGAGAAACAACTTTGTGCTTGGGTCTGATGCCTCAGAGGCATCTCCGTGTCAAGAGGCTCCCCTTGGCCCCCATAAAGTGGACGAATGAAGCGGCTGCCTCTGGGCTCTGAGCGCAGTGCTCGAAGTCGCCAGGAGATGGCAGCCGGGTTCCTTAGACCGGGCTGGCGCTCAGAGGAGGGAGGTGGTCCTCCGAGAAGATGCCCTGCGCTTTGCTCCCTCACAAAGCCAATGCCCTCCACCCGCACCTGTGGTCAGCAGCCAGCTTTGCGGGTATCTGGGTACCTATGTCCCCCCAAACCACGCTAGTTCTAGAAACGCCAGTGTGACCAGCAGCAATCAGATTTCATAACTCGTCTTGAGACTCAGGAGTCAGCTTGAGTTCCAAGGTCAACCTATGACCCAGGACAAGGCTCGGTTGGGTCTATGGTCAAACTATTACCAGGTCAGGTTTCAGCTTTTGTCCACACTTAGTGTGAGAGTAGGATCTAGGATTAGTGGCTCAGTATTAAGTCCAGGGTCAGCGCTCTGCTTGTTTTTTAAAAAATAGTTTTTTATGTTCGTTGGTATTTTGAGAGCAAGTATATCTGTGTAAGGGTGTCACAAACCCTGGAACTGAAGTTACAAACAGGTGTGAGCTGTAATTGAACACAAGTCCTCTGGAAGAAGAGACAGTTGCTCTTAGCCACTGAGCCATCTCTCCAGCCCCGAGTATCCAGTTTGTATTCCGGGTCAGGTATCAATGTGTTTCCAGAACTGGAGCTCAGCCTCTACCTGGCTGCAATTCAAGGCATACATACACCACCACATCTGGCTAATAACTTGTTTTAAATTTTGTTTTGTTTTTCTAGACAGGGTTTCTTTCTGTACTCCTGGCTGTCCTGGAGCTAGATCTGTAAACCAGGCTGACCTCAAACTCACAGAGATCCACCTGCCTCCCAAGTGCTGGTATTAAAGACGTGTGCCACCACTGCTCAGTTATTATTTTTTTAACTTTTTATTTTTTTGTGGATTTCACATCATGCACCTAATCCCACTCATTTCCCCATCCCTTTGTGTCCACCCTCTGCCCTTGCAACCTCCCTGTCCCCCATAAAATAAAATTTAAAAGAAAAAATAACTCATCATGAAAGCTGTAGTGTGTCACAGTGAGTCACACCCTTTAGTCCATATGTCTTTGTTTGGAAGTATTCGCTGCAATGAGTCATTGGTCTAGTTTCAGGCCTCTGGCTTCTGCTACATTATTAATATTGGGTCCTCATTGGGACTCCTCTTAGATACCCTGTTGTTGCCTTATGTCATGGAGCTTTGGATCTGCAGAACTAACTCCTTCACATGCTCTAGCAATTCATAGAAGGGGTGGATGTTGGGGTGGGCTGACTTAAAGCCCTGGCTCTGGGCCTGGGTGGTAGCTGAGTTGGTCAGCCTGTCAGCTCTCCCAGGTACTCACCACCAGGTTACCCTCTCCAGCATTGTCCCAGCTAGCTCTCCTGATGCTGGAGGCAGCAAGGGGGAGGGCCAGTTCTCTTGCTTTCATGCCCTCAGGGCCGGCCTATCCACACCCACACCACAAGAGCCAGCTCTACTGTGCTGCCCAGACCAGTTGCAGGACCTCCTGAGCGTTGCAGCTGGTGAGAGGCAGGGCCAGCTCTCCCACTTTCATGCTGTAGGTGGTGAGGGGTCGGGCAGGGGTTGCAGAGGGGAAAGACATCTTTCCCTCACCATGCTATCACATGTCAAATGAGGTAGCTGTGGTGCAGCTCTCCCACTCTCACACCCTCGGGGCTGGCTCGCTTGCATCTCACTTGCCCTGGTGCTGCTGTCAGCGTGGGGTAAGTGCTGCCAGCGTGGGGTAAGGCCAACTCTGTGCAGCTTTTGGATATTAACATGGTCCCAGGCAGCAGTCCAGACTGGGGACAATCACATGGCCTTTGGTGGTGACATGGGCCAAGGACATCAACACAGACCCCTGCTGCTGCATGGCCATGGACCCAGACATGGCCCTCAGCTACAGCATGAGGCCCAGGATGTCACCGTGGTCTCAGGTGGCTTCAATGGCTACTCACATCAGGCTGTTTTTCTCCACCTTTGTATCTTTAGATCTACCTCTCATCATAGTGCTCAAACTGTTCTTCTCTTTCTTTCCCATCTTTCTGCCCCATATTTGCACATCTTAGTGGCTTGTGCTGTGGGTGGGCCATGTGTTGGGTGGGGTCTCTAGGTGTCTTCTTTCTGCCACTTACTGCTGGCAGACAGGACCTCTGCGTGTCATCAAGTGTTTGTCCAACCCAAAGCTTCCAAAGGAAATAAATTTCTGGCCAGTTAGACACAGCACAGTAAAACTGTAGTTCAACATAGAGTTGTCCAGTCTCATGGTTGAAACACCACCATAATCAACTAGAGAGATTAGCAGATAGGCCACTGATGAGGCATAAATACAGAAGGACCAGTCCAGTCAGCTGTGGGTCTCCTCTCTACATGTATTGCTCCCCTTCCTGGGCTACAATGCAGCTCTGGGAGTCACAGCAACTGGTACAGTGGTCAGTGTAATTAACCTTTCCCAAGGAGCAAGAACAGCAACCAGGTTTGCATCTCCAGTTTTGCCTCACTTCATAGGGCCAGCTCTGACACTTTCATGCTGTAGGTGGTGAGGGGTCTTCCATTTCTCCACCACATATTTGCTTTGTTCTCTCCTATCACTCTAGCTCCTACTTATTCACTTCCCATAGCTCCCAGATGGACTCAGGACCGCAGTGTTATCTTTATGCTTCCCAGAGTGTTGGGTGGCATGGCTGGCTTCAGCCCACAGATTTATCTTAACAATTTTATGTGTAGACCAGGCTGGCCTTGAACTCAGGAATCTATCTGCCTCCCAAGTGCTGGGATTAAAGGTATGTGCCACTACACCAGGCTAATCCTTGAGCATTTTAGACAGGAATTCTGCCACTTCTACCACTGAGTGAGTCCCCAAGTCTCCCTCTCCAAAGCCCTGGTAATTTATCATGCCAACCTGTATCTGTGATGATTGTAAGGCGCTGCCCTGGTTAGTTTTTTGTCAATTTAATACTAGACAGAGTCTTTTGAGAAGAGCAAATCTCAGTTGGCCTATAGGCAAGACTGTGGGACATTTTCTTGCTAAATAATTGATACAAGAGGGTCAAGATCTCCTTGAATGGTGCCACTGTAGGCTTGTGGTTCTGAGTCGTATAAGAAAGCAATCTGAGCAAGCCATGAGGAACAATCCAGTAAGCAGTATCCTTCTATGGCCTCTGCTTCAGTTCTTGCCTCCTGGTTCCTGCCCTGATTTCATTCATTGACAGAGTGTGACCTGAAAATTATAAGATGAAATAAACCCTTTCTTCCCCAAGTTGCTTTTGGCCATGATGTTTTATCACAGCAATAGAAACCTAAGACAGGCCGGGTAGTAGTGGTACACGCCTTTGATCCCAGCACTTGAGAGGTAGAGGCAGGTGGATCTCTGTGAATTCAAGGCCAGCCTGGTATACAAAACTACACAGAGAAACCCTGTCTTGAAAAACCAAAAGAAAAAATAAATAAATAAAAGAAACCTAAGACAGGCACTAACTTTAGGATAGTTTCTGCCAGAGAGACAAAGAAAGCAGCCTAGGTCACACCCCCCCCCCCCCCCCCCCCCCCCCCCCCTCCCCCCCCCCCCCCCCC